GTCCTTGTCGTCTTGGAAAGCTTTGCTGTAGACAACAGCCTTACTAGGTCTAATGATAATAAAAGCAGGAAGCAAATGTTTCTGCCCATGCTGAGAGTATAGATCTTGTAGAAAGGCTAATATGATCAACAGCTCTGTATGTAAGAATATGAGCAGCAGAATGTGACAATGAACTAGCAACATCATTTGATTAAGAGGAAGTAGATGCCCTTGGTATTTGAGAACTCAAATCTGTTTCCATTTTCCTCTGCCTCATACATCTGTCACCTCTTTATTGGCATTGATTCTTTTCTTTGAAAGAAAAAATTTGGTGTAGGACTAGGCTATACTGTGGTGGGATTTAATTAATGTTTGGGAAGTAGTTTGAATTTCTCTGATGAAAGGTGTTGGCCGCCACTCAGAGTTTCACAGCTCAATTTTTCTAGCGTTTGTTAAGGTTCTAAAGTGAAATAAAATTCAGTTGGATCTGAAAAACTTCTGATTAGTGAGTTTCTACTAAATAAGTTAAAGAAATTAGCTTATTAGAATTACTTATTAGAATCACAGAAGCAGGAGTATATCTTTAATATTGCACTGTACCTTAAAATACCTGCAGAAAGAAAAAAGGTTATAAAGCCCAGAAAAGTGGGTATCAGCTCCCTACCAATGGATAATTGTAATGGAAGTTGTGGGTTCCTGTGAGGCATTCCAATTAAATTACCAGGAATCTACCTGGTGTTTTAGGTAATTTACGTGGGAAAGTTGAATATAGCTACTATTTGAATTTGCATTTGAGATCAGCAAATCTAAGGAACAGAACATTAAAGCAGAGCCAAATGTGGGTGTAGCAGACATAAACATCTCTGTACTTATGTATGCAAATTAGTATAAACATTTGATAGGCTTCAAATTATTTTGAATGGCTTTTCCTTCTCTCTGATGACATTGAAATGTCACAATCTTCAGGCCGAAAGCTGCTCTGAGAGCTGCTGAAGCACTTCCTCGGGCATACTTACTTTTATTTGAGGCACAACTCCAGCATGCTTGGTTGGCTGATTTCTAAATCCATGGCATGTTGGAAACAAGAAATTAGATAATGGAGTGAGGCTGCCACAGACAGATGCCCTAATATCATGAAAAGGGACAAAGACATGCTTGCCAGGTATTTTGCTCAGCAGTCAATTCACTCATAATGTCCACCCATAGACAATGCCTGTCCAAGCTGGGCAGATAACCAGTGAGCCATTCGGCCAATCAATTAGTCAAATCCTTCTCATTTGCTTGGGTTCTGTTTAAGCCACTGCATTGAATTTTTCTTCAGTTTGAAGCATACTGGGTGAAGACACATCTTACCACACTGCAGCCTTGGAAGCAGGGGTTACCAATGCTCCAGAGAATTGACAGCCATTGTTGGGCACCCAAATTTCAGGACATATTGGGTGTGGCTGTAAGTCCTGCAATTCAGTGCATTGAATGGGTGTGCAGAATCTAGGTTCAAATCCTTACGCCCCAGACCACTGCTAGTTAGAGAACCCTTAGCCAGTTATTCATAGAGCTATAAGAAGTCTTGACCATGAACTTACCTTCATATCTCATTTTTAAAATAAGGAAAGTGAGTGCCAGAACGGTTACATGTTAAAGCCAAATATTGTCAGAATAGGAAATTTGATGGAAGGAAAAACAACAGCATACCTAGCCTATACCAGTAACATCACATCTATGATTCTTTTTGATCACGAAAAAGTTTTATGAGACATTATTATCTTGGTTCTCGGGAAGAAGAAGAAGGCTTGGAGAGGTTGAGTAAGTACACAAGGCCACACTTAGTGCATGATAGAGCTGGGGTACAAACCCAGGTCTGCCTGACTCCAAAATCCATGCCATCCCTCTTCACTCTGTCTCCATGTAGAGGGCAGGTCTCCTGTTTTTTACATAATTTACTTTATATTAAGCATAAAAGGCTTAAAACAAATTAAGGCACTCTAGAGCTATTATTATAGGGGCGACTTAATTGTATCATAGAGGTGCCCATGGGACATTCACATTTTAGCTGAAATCCCAATATTAAAATGTTTCTCTCTAGTAAAAGCAGGGAAATATGACTTTTCACAGTCATAATGTGGCAGAGAATGCTAATAGAGGAAAAAAACACAGACAGGGCATTGGAGGGCAGAGTTCTGAGCAGACAAAGTCGAAGTGTCACATAAACAAACCCAGAGAGAGGGATTTCTTGGCAATTAGAGGCAGGTACTTTGCAGAAAGTATTGGGGGAGCCAATCTCCATAGAAATCAACAAACAAAAGCTATATTTAAAGAGAAATTACATTAGCAGAGATGGAGAATAATCTCTAGTCATAAGCAGCTACCACTATTCTAGCAAAAACACTGTGGGCCCCATAGCAAGAATGGGCAAAAACTGTCAGCAGAGAAGTCCTGCTCCATATAAGGCACAATTCCTTTAATCATGGAAGGAACTGGAAGCTTCACTGGTCCTCATTCATCACATAATCTTTGTAGTTGTTGTTTATTACCATGTTTCCTTTGTGGTTGTAGTTTGTCAAATGAATTTGAAGTCAGGCCACTGGATTTGAATTCCAGCTTCATCAGCTGCCAATAATATGACCTTAGGCAAGCTCTCTAATCTGTTTCCTCACTTGTAAAATGTGCTAAAAAATTGTGTCCTTGGGCCAGGGATTTAGCTCAGTGGTACCACCACCTGTCCTGCAAGTGCAAGGACCCGAGTTTGATCCCTGGTACAAAAAAAAAAAAAAAATTGTGTCCTATGATTACTGGCAGAGTTAAATAAGGTAAATTAATGCCAGATGGTAGTTGGAATGATTCCTGGCACATAGTGAGAGCTCAATACATCTTAGCTCTTCTCATGACCACATAGGTTTGCTTAGATGATAAGATAGGATTCATGTCTGGCATATGGTAAGTACTTGCTAAATGTTCACTGTTATACTTGCTGTATGTATCATTGCTGTATCACAGTCTTGGTGGACTTTTATTTATCAAGTCTTAGGTTAACCCATCCAGGTTCAGTTGTAAACAGATAGTGGGCCAGGTGGGCCCCATCTAACTTTGTCAACAAAATTTTGGTACACAGAATAGGTAACTGGGTAAATGCCACCACTACCTGTACCCATCTTGGAGAAAGCTGTCCTAAAAAGATTTTTATCTGGTGCCAACAATGTAATCCACACATATGAGATCACCAGATAGATAAATAGATCTTCTCCTCTGAAACTCTTCCGAAATTCTCCCAGAGTGAGCACTGACCTGCAGCTTCTTGGGGTGAGGAGTCTTAAGAATATCAACTAAATACACTTTACTTTAAAGAATCATAACTGATCCTAATGGGCATTAGCTGAAAAAAGTGACAGTAGTAAAAAACAGCAGGAAAATAGACTGTCTCTACACCAGTCAGTTGAGATTCAGAAGTAATTTCCCCCACAGGCCACACTCAGACTGGCTAAGTAATAAAACAGCCACAGGGAAAAATCCACTAACAAAATATTGCTTCCTCTTTTACCTGGTTGGAAGTGAAGACTATGAGAAGCTATGTGATCCTCAGAGACCACAGGAGAGAGTACAGGACATGTAGAAGGGAGTCCAGGATGACAGTTTGGTCAAAATGGTTCCACCTTAATCCTAGAGGCATTGAAATGATCAAGAGACAAAGGTTTGATGTCCTGAGGTATGTGATAAATAAAGCAATATACAACTGGTTGGGTGACAAAGAAAATATCAGAAGTATGCTGTTTTCAGCCATCTCTTCAAATTGATGGAATCATCCACCCAGAGGTAAAGCATTCATGGTACTAAATGACAGGTTTTAAGATATCCAGTGTGAGGTTTGTTTGCTAGTTTATTTTTTTTAAAAAAGCTACTTTGTATTCTCCAGCTATGTTTATATGCCATGCAACTGCTTTGGCTAATTTGAGTGACACAGTCAATGCAATTGAACCAAATCAAATAAGAAGGGCCCTTGGCCAAAGAATGTGTTGGCTTTAGGTTGTACAGTTCCCTCAGAACCATTATCACACAGGTAGAGATAGTGGCATGGCCAGCCAGCTGGGCGTGTGTCCGTCATTCAGTCAGCTATCTGTGACTCTTTAGAAAAGAGTCCGCAGGGCACAGTCTGGCTCCGGTGGAAACTTAATTTAAAGTGCTTACCAGATGACCAGCCTAGAGCCACTCAATATATCCAAACACAAGAACCTAGGGGCTATGTGACTTCAGTTTGACAGGACTATCAGCTGCTTTGATTCTTCCCAGTAGGAAAAGTAAAAGTGAAATTTGTGCATATCCTCCTTTTGACATAATGAAACATTCTATAAGCTGAAAGTCTCGGGACCCAATTATAAAGACCAAATTGCTATTTTACACACTATAAGATAAATAGCTATGGTCTCATCGATCTTGCCCTTTGTAATTTACTTTATCTCATGGGTTCCTCACAATAAGGAAAGGATTTGTTGTTTGCAAATAACAGAAGCTCAATTTAGCCCAAGAAAATAGGAGGAGCAGGGGTTGAGGGGATTGCTGTAAAGTCATAGCACAGTCTCACTGGAATCGAGGAAAAGCTGCACAGTCAGGCTTCAGGACAGACAAGACTGACAGGGCACTGGGATCGGTCACCACCCCCCTAAAGTCCAGTGCTTTCCCTAGACTGAACAGCCCCTATTTGGAGCACAGAGGCTAATTAACACAGTGCCCAATTAATAGAGGCTGAGATTAGAGCACAGAGGTGACTAATTATGAGGTTAAAGCGAGGGTCAGATTGCTGGAGAAAAAGGTACAAGCAAAGTATTAACCCCCAAAATTTGAGTACAGGATTATTATGGTCATTTGTCACATAAAGAAACAGAGGCACATACAAGTTAGGAGGGTTTATTCAGATGGCTGGCAAGTGGCTTTAGGCCTTTGGACAAGTGTTAGATTCAGACAGATTTAACTTTAAATCCTATAGCCCACTTGCTGTTGGATCACGGAGAATGTGTTTAATCTTTGGGCTCCAATTTTCTCACCATCAAAATAGGCTCACTTCAAAGATTTGTTTTTAGGATTAAATTAAATGAGATAATTTATTTAACCCATCTAATTTAGTTCCTGGGATCTAGCATGATACACAAAAAGATAACAGCTTTTTCTCTCACTGTAGAGACCACGTTTTTACCTACATTACAGTTTTACCACTCAATTACATGATATTTTGCTTTTCTTCCTCTATGTCTACGGGCAGCCACTCCCAAAGACTGTCAGTTCCTTGGAGATCATATCTCATTTCTCTTGGATCCTACCCTGGGCTGGGTGAGCACACTGGCAGTCTCTTCAAATTCTTGTGGAATCAAAGAGGTTGAATCCGTTCACATGTCACTTTTTTTTTCTAGAAAATCCCCCAGGACCTGCACCATCATTGTGTTTCATTGTGTCTTTCTCAGGCTACATGTTTCCTTGGGATACCAACCTGGTTTTTCCTTTCTTCTCTTTCATGCAGCTCCACCTGGAGGCCAGTGGCTTGAGTTTGCCAATGCCCACAAATTTATCACAGAAGAGTGCCCCCATTCAAGGTGTGCTATTAAACTCCATGTGGCTCCAAATAAAGAGGATTCACCCTGAATTCTAGTTCTTAAGCATGCTATCCTGGGATGTTTTTGTTGGTAGTGGGAGGGGATTTTTCTCCAGCAGAAAAATCTTCATACCAAATGAGAAAACTGGATAGTGTTTAAAGTTGAAGAATACTTCCAAATAAGTATTAGAATCATGAGGATGTATCAAGTAGGGAGTGGATAATTGCTTGTCTAAAGATCTCCTAACATTTGTGCTCTCACAATCTTCCCTCAGTTACATGCAGCCTAGATATCAGCATGGTGCTCAAAAATCTACACCAGTTGCTAACTTTGAAGAGAGATATACCACAGGGTGCAGTGATGATAGGAAAAAGGAGAAGAGGATTCATATTTCATGAAGCTATTATGTGTCTGCATAAAACTAAGCACTTTAGATACAGTATTTCATTTCCCCAGCAACCATACAAGATTGGTAATGTTGTTCCATTTTTATAGATGAGAACTACCAGAGTCAATTACCTCAGGCTATGTAATTAGTAAGGGGATCTGCAGGAATCCAGCAAAGAGCAGGCACCAGGTCAGTCTTGCTGCTAGCCAAAACTGCTCACTTCCTTTTTCAATGCAGATTGACCACCACTGATGGAGAGAGAAGGACTGGTCCCCAAGGGGACTGGCTGAATGAAAAGAAAGGAGGGGAGTTATTATTTAGAAACCAAGCCACTGGGTCGACCAGCGCTGCAACAGAATCATTTGCACACTACCTTGGAGCTCTTGAAAGACTGTTCTGATAACTGCAGAATAATTAACACTTGGGCTTTTGTTCCAGATTGACCTGGTTTCCATCCTTTATTATATGTGCCTAGAAAAGTTACTTGACCTTGATGAGTCTCAGTTTCCTTGTTACAAAGAAGAATAATATTAGTTCTTAACTCACAGAACTATTGTAAAGATTAAATAAACATAAAGTCTTCCTTGCTTAGGAGTATGCCTGGCTCATAATAAGTACTGCAAAAATGCTAGCTGTCATCAATAGTGGATAATTTTAAAGAAATAGGGATTTTTTTAATCAGTGAAATTGCTATAAAGACGATAAATAGGCATCCTTCCCTAATAAAAAGAGGTGATTCATTTACAAATACAGAACACATTTGCATGCAGACAATAATGTGATAATATCCTTAAATAGAGTTTGTTCTTCTAAGAAGAACATAAGAAAATACTGCTTCCCATTGATTCTAAAACCAGCCCTTGTTTACATTGTTAAATTGCTTAGCAACCTCTTGTCTAGCCTGAGTAGAGTCATGAAATTTCAATCAAGAACAGGACAAAGTACCACAAATCTTAAATGAATATACTACTCTCATGTTGAAGACTAAACATAAAATTACATTTATTTTAAAGCATCTTCTCATGGTTTGTACTTTCTGCAAATTCAAATGTTTTTCCTCCTGCAAGGTAAAGATTGACTCTAGTAAGTGTGGTGTTGATAAAGGGCAAGGAATACCTTAGGGAAGGGTGAGTCGCTGTTTCATGGTCCCGTCTCATCAGTGGTCTTATAATTTCTTTTTTTTCCACTCTGGATTAGTTCAACAATCACAGAGGGGAAGTGATAGTGATAAACTCCCTGTAGAAAAGAATAAAACATTTTCTTTTATATTTTCAAAAGGACACAGGCCCAGTCTTTGTCTCAGTCGCTCTGTTGAGTAATTCATGAACCTACAACACCTAGTTTCTCAAATACCATCAGCTGTGAATATCTCCCTGCTAAAGGGAATCATCTCAGATCTCTGTTACTTCTCCCCACTTTCCACATTACCACCCTATTGCCTCATCTGTAACCTTCCTCCATCTCGATCTTATCGCTGGCGATCCATTTTAAATACTGTTTTCAAACAAGGTAGGAAAACATAATAAGAAAGAGTTCTTTTTAATGACTGAGCCTCAGTCTTAGTTTTTCACAGGTCTGTTGGACTACTACAGCAAGGACTCCAGAACTGCTCTTTGTGTTGGGTGGAGCTCTTCCTACAATATATTCTCTCTCCTTCTCTCCTTAAAGAGTGCATTTGAATCAGAAGACCAACCTCATGCTCTACCTCAGGTCCAGTTTCTAGCCTTAGTTTTTGACCTTGAATATAACACTGTACTATTTTGAACACGATTTTCTATTTGTCCAATGAGGTAGCCATACTAGGTAAACATCAGAGTCTGTTTCAAAAACAAAATTTCTAAACCTTTATACATCTGAGAGTGACTTTCACTTTTGGTTAGGATGTAGATGGTCACAGCTGGCTAACACTCACATTGTAGCAAAAAAGGGGAAAAAAGAGGCAAATTACCAACATCATTAAAGACATGAAAGATCTGTGGAAACCAAAGAGAATTAGATAAACATAAACTCCTAAATAAGTTTATAATCACCAACAGTTTGTTTCTCCGGGAGCATTAGCTTGTTCTAGAAACATACAGGCTGAAGATTAGACTTGGCCCAAGCAGAATTCAGTTGGAGGGAAGAGAAACCAACAAGACTTTTTGTCAATGTGCAGAAGTAATACACTTTTGCACAAGATTGGAAAATGGAAGAGTAAAAAATTCAAGGCTTGGGCCAGGGATGCAGCTCAGTGGCTCCACACCTTCCTGGCAAGCGCAAGGTCCTGAGTTGGATCCCCAGAACCAAAAAAAACCAAAAAACAAAAATTCAAGGCTCATTCTCATTTTTGAAGTGGTAGGGAAGGCTTAAGGGTGCTGATCAGAAAGAGGATAAAATCTTCTGTAGTCTCTAGTGTTTGAAAGGAAAGGTCCTACTAGAAAAGAAATGAGTTTGCAGTAAATGCACACAGTTCTTGTTCTTAAACCATTTGCCAGATTTTGAACTCCTATGAAGTGGATTTCAATGATGTAAGCTCAAAGCTTCTGAAGATCATAATCTTCAGAACATAGGAGACAGAACACTACTAGCCTCTCATCAAAAGACCAGTGACCTCTCCAAAGAACAGGGACAAACCAGAGGTGAACTGATACTTGCTAAAAACTGTAACACAACCTCATACCTAGTATAATCTATGCCTGTCTGGTCACCACAGAAAGGGAGAAAACCTTTCTTGTAGAGATTCATGTGAACATTCTGGAGGCTTTTTAATTATTTGTTTGAAATTATTTTAATACCCAATATCTATAATACAACTCAAAATTACTAACAAGAAAATTGAAGATGTGATATATAATCAAGAGAAAAAATATTGAGCAATAGAAGCAGACTCACAGATATTTCAATTACAAGAATTAGCAGAAAATCTTTTAAAAATAATTAAAATTATTATATTAAAGAAAAAAGAAGCAGTGAATATGGATTAATAGATTCAGGGTTTTAAAAGAGAATTGAAGTGGCTAAAAAAATCTATATGGGCAACTTAGAATGGGAAAATATATTATCTAAAATTAGGAACTCATTTGGGTGAATTTATTACCATGTAGAACACAGCATATTTAATGCAAAGACAAGATCAGTGTTTTAAAATGCCAAAAGTGAAACTCAATACTGATTAAAAAAAGATGGAAAGAACAGAACAAAATATAGCAAAGATACATCTTCAAAAGATCCAATACATGTATAATTGAAATTTCAGAGGAAAAAGAGGCATATGAAGAAGAAATAATGACAGAAATAACAACTAAATTTTTCTAAAACAGATAATAATGCCACTGATCCAAGAACAAGAATGTGTTAGTCACTTTCCCATCACTGTGACAAAAATATGTGACACCTACAACTTAAAGAAAGAGAGGTTTATTTTTGGCTCATGGTTTTCAGAGGATTCAGTCCATAATTAGTTGGCTCCAAAGGCAAAAACAGCATAGTGGAAGGGCGTGGCAGAGGAAAGCTGCTCCATCCATGGCAGGCAGGAAGCAGAGAGAGAAGGGAGGAGCCAGGAACAAGAATACACCCTCTCATGTCACACCCCAGTGGCCCATCTACAACCAGGCCCCACCTCCTAACAGCACATTCATCAGTGGATTAATCCACTGGCGAGTATAGCACCCTCATGATCCACCACCTTCCATATACCCCACTTCTGAATGTGTGAGACTTTTAGGAGATGTTTTAAATCTAAACATAAGGGAATACCAAGAAGGATAAAAACAATGAAAACCACATCTAGACACATCGTATTCAAAGAACTGGAAATTAAAGAGTAGGGGGAGGGGAAAGACATGTTATTTTTGAAGTAACAAGGCTGACAGTTGACTTTCCAATAGAAAATTTTCAATAGAATCCAAGGCAATGCTGTAACATCTTCAAAGAGCTGGAAGGAAATTTTTCTACTAAGTGAAAAACATATTCAAAATTTAAGTCAACGTAAACATATTTCGACATAAATAAAACCTAAGAAAGTTTGTCTCAAGAAAATGACACTATAAAACTTATAAAAGGAAAATTTTCAGACTGAAGGAAAAAACATCCAAATAGAAATATTCAACTTTGGAAGAAATAAAGAGCATGGTAAAGGGCAAATACATATGTATGTATTAGCTAATATTTACATTTTGAATCAAAAAGAGAGACTTGGGGAACATAATAGTAAAATTGTGATAATATATCAAAGAACTAGAAGCTCTTAAAATGAGGTTAAATTGTATTAGCTCTTTGCATTACCTGTGAAGTGGTAAAAGTGCCAACTTCAGCTAGGAAGGAATATTTATTTTTTTCAGGATAAGAGCTAAAAATGTCAAGAATGTATAAGAAACACCTAAAAGTAGAGAAAATGGAATAAAGATACTTTATTTAAAAGCAAGTAGGAAAGGAGTGATGTGTTAGTAAGTTTATTGCTGAGACAAAATACCTGACATACACATTTTAAAGAAGAAAACAGTTATTTTGGTTGATGGTTTCAGTTTCAGGCCATGGTCAGCTGACTCCAAAGCAGGTCACAGAAGAAGATCATGGTAAAGCAAAGCCGCTCACTTTATGTCAGCCAGAAAGCAGAGATAGAAAGACCCAGAGAGAAAAGGACCAGAAACAAAATATACTCCCCAAGTCATGCCCTATGAGCTACCCAGACACACCGCGAAGTATGCTTCACTAATCTCCTCAAGCCAATCACATTGAAAATCAAGATTAGCAATCACAAGGAATAAAGGGACACGGGAAAGATAGAATACACAGAGCAAATAGCAAGTAGAAAAAAATAAACCATTTCAATAATTATATGTTAGTTCACTAAGCAATCAAAAAAGAAAGAATGGATTTTTTACACATGGCTTGTGTGTGTGTGTGTGCGTGCGTGTGTGTGTGTGTGTTTCCCATTAAATTTATTGGTACATTTTAGGTATAAAATACAGTTACATTCATCATTTGGATCTTCTACCTTTACATGAGTATCTTGGTTCTTATTTTTTTCCCCTTCCCCTGCCCTCCCTTCACCCCCTCCATCCTTCCCTATTTGCAAAGACTTTGATTCCTTTTTTTTTCTTTTCTCATATTTTTTCTTTTCCCTTCTTTCCTTTCCCCTACCCCTCCCACTTCCCCTACTCCTTTAGAGCTTTTCTTCCTATTACACAGTATTAGTTATACATTTTTAAAACTACACTATCAAGATCTAGGAGACATTACCACAGATTTTACATAATTTAAAAGGCTTGTGTGTTTTATAGGTACTTTATAGAAAGTATATTTTAAAGTTCAATATGTTTATCTGGGAGACAATAAGGAATGGGCAAACACTTTGGGTTTGAATTTTAACTTCTAATTATTATTTGAATTAGATTGGTTTGATACCTCTGTGAGTCTTAGTTTCCTCATCTGTAATAAAAGCGCAACTCTAACTATCTGATAGGGTTGGTGTGAGAATGAAATAAAATTCATGAACAAATCTAGGGCAGTGACAAGTAGACCCTCAGTAAGTGATGGATATTATTGTCACTCTCGTTACTTGCTCCGGGCTCTCTTTGGGAGTTACTCTAATATCATGGCTAATTCCAACGTTGTCTGCTGTTAGCCATGCAATCTTGAATAAGCTCCTCAAACTCTCTACACCTGTTTTCTCACCTGTAAAATGAGAACTGTGAGGGCAAAATGAGGTTGTCTGTTAAGACACTTGGTACATTGCCTGAAGTACAATGAATATGTTCTGCAATAGCCAGAGTCACTATGAACACATAAATCAGATTATGTTGATCATTTGCTCAGAAGTCTCCAAGGCCTTCCCATTCTACTTAGAGGAAAATCCAGATTATTTATAATCATTAACAGGGACTCTCAAAATCTATGACCTTTTTGAATTCATGATCTTGTTACTCATTCCCTTGCCTACTACACTTTCTCTAGACACATTGGCCACCTTGCACTTTCTCAAATTTATGAGGAGTCGGTCATGCTTCAGCCTCAGGGTCATTACCCTTGTAAAATCCACCCTCTGGAGATCTTTTCCCCTGCAGTCACCTACGCTCACCTCTTAGATCAACATAGTTGCTCCTTTAGCCCTAGTGATCTTGCTCAACTGTATTGTTCAAAGAAGACTTGCAAGTCTGCCATTCATAAAATTGAGCCTCAGTGCCATACCCAGCTCCACTTCCTTATCTTACTTCCTTGACCTATTTCTCTCCTTAGCAGAAATCAACATTTAACTTTCTTTTCTATTATATGATGTATGTCTTTATTTTATTGCCTTTCTCTATGACAATGTATGGACAAGAATTTTTGTCTTTGATCACTACTTTAGCCCCTAGACAACTACTTACTTGGCACATAATGCTCACAAATATTTATCAAATAAAAAATTTTAAAGTCACTGTTATCATTCACTTTTTGATCATTTCTCCTTTCTTCCCCTTCTTTAGTAAGCATTAGCAGTTTGAGCCATATCTGAACTCAAAACATAGCTCATCATGTCTCCAAAATATTTTCCCCTGAATTCTCTTGTCTATGTCATTTCCTCCTGCTTTACCCTCTCCTAGCACTGATCTTGTTCCACTGGATTCATATCAGCAGAGACCTCATCTATTTTTGCTTGCTGCTTTTTTCCCCAAGCTTAATACAACCCTGGGCACATAAAATACAATCAACAAATGTGATGGTAAATCTTGATGGTCAACTTGATTGAACAGAGAAACACCTAGGAGGGCCAGGGGTTTAGCTCAGTGGTTCTGGCACCTGCCTTGCAAGAGCAAGGTCCCAAGTTCGATCCCTGGTACCAAAAAAAAAAAAAAAAGAGAAACAGCTAGGAGATTAGTAGAGCTCACTCCTGGGTGTGTCTGTGAGGGTGTTTCCAGATGTGATGGCCATGTAGGACAGCACACTGAGGAGGGAGATTCTCCCTGAGTCTGGGAGGTGGGAGACTCTATCCAATAAACTGGGGGCCTGAGGAGGATAAAAGAAAAAGGAGGAAGCTCACATTTTTCCTTCCTTCCTCCTCCTCCTCCTCCTCCTCCTCCTCCATTTCCTCCTCCTCCTTCTGTCATCATGATTTAAGCTATTTTGCCCCACCATGTGCTCCCTGCCATAATATTCTGGCCTGGAAGCAATGGAGCCAAGTTACCATGAACTGAAATCTCTGAAACCAAGAATAAAAATAAACCCTTCCTCCTTTAAGCTATTTTTCTCAATTATGTTGTCATACTGACACAAAGCTGACTAACAGAGTGAATGAATGATCAGAAAAAATTTCCAATTTGTTTTGTCTATAGTAAACCTAATTTTGTACTTCACTTGTCCTCACAGGCTGTGCTATGTTTACCAAGCTTTGGTATTATATGTGCCATTTCTTTACTGAGACTGCACTGTATGACTTAGGCTGATATATTAGCTGTCAGGTATTCTGTTTTTCTCTTTGGCTTGTATTCAGAGTAAAGGTTAAAAAGAGCAATACGTTGCCAGTTAGCAAAAATCCATTTAATCTGCTCAAATCTATGAAAATATCCAATTAATATTATGCATTAAAATTCCACAATAAAGAGGATCCTGGAGATGAGTCTAGGAAGGAAAAGAGCAAGGTGAAGATAAAAGCATTCTTTGTAAGAATGAGAAGATTACGGCGGTGGTATGACAAAGAAGAAGGAATAGTCATTTACCAGAAGCCTAACAAATGCCACACCCCATTCATAGCCCTTTGTATTTATGATCTCATTTGAACTGAATGAAAAATATGTTTGAGTAGAGAGGATACTGGCAAATGTGGGAAAGTGTGGGGGTGTGCTTTTATGCGTGCATATTTGTGGGTATTTTAAATTAGCAGGTCCTAGCCCTGTCTTGGCTTCATATTAGTTGTGCAAACCTGAGCACGTCAGTTAATGCTCCTGAGCTTCTGTTCGTACATACCAACTGGTATGAAGATCAAATAAAATAGATAAGAACATTCTTTAAAACAATGGGGGTGAGTGTGTGTGTGATATTACAAGGATAAAAGCAAAAATCTATGCCTTCAGGGGTTATATTTTTTCATTTTCCCAGGTGAAAGATTAGACCCTGGGTAAAGTCACTTAGTATCCATTCACTTATTTTGCAATTTAATCCAACAAATATATTAAACACCTGTAGTGTGCAGACTCCATGAGATCATGGAAAATAAAATGAGGAACTAAATATGATCCTGCCTCAGACTTTACACTTGAGAGAAAGAAGCATATGAGCATAAAAATAACTTTACAATTCAAGGCAGAATATGTAGAATGTTATTAGTGTCATTTATAAATTATATACTAGGAAATCATGCTTAATAATTTATTCAATAAATATTTATTGAATGTCAACTATGAACCAGTTACTACTGTAGGACCAAAAGAGATAGTAGTAAACAAAAAAGAAAAGTAGCTTGTTTTCATGGAGTTTACATTCTAATGTGGGAAAGCAGAGATTATACTGGTATTCCAATGGATAAATAAAACAATTTTTATTTAATTGCTGTGGTGGAATAAAGTATTATAATAAGGAGTTTAAGAGAGGCAGAAGGTGTCTCGTATTTTCACTGAGACTAAAATGATAAGAATGAGGCTGATTTGAGATCTTTTGAAAGAGAGGATCTTCCACATAAAGAATGGCAAGGGCTATGATTGGGAGGTGAGAAAAAGCTTGTGGGTTTGAGGATTGCAAAGAATGGGTTATGTGAAAACATGGTGCATCCGTCTGATTTCCCTTTGCAAAACGCAATATCTGACACCCACAATTTAAAGGAGGAGATATTTACCTGGACTCACACTTTAAGGAGATTCTTTATGGTCAGCTGGCTGCAAGGCAGAAACATAATGGTGGAGTGGTGGAGTGGAGCAAAGCTTGGTTCATAGTGGCCAGGAAGTAGAGCAAGGGAACAGTGTCAGAGAGAAAGGGGCCAGAGTCTAGCTATAATTCCCAAAGTCACACATCCATGACTCAGCCAGACATACCTAGAAGTGTGCTTTACTGGTCCCCCTAGGGGACTCCTAAGCCAATCAAATTGACCCTGCCACACATGCGATGACAACTAGTGAGAAAGTCATATTCTATGAGGAGACAAGAGCAAGGGTCAGTAGGTGCCAGCCAGCACCCCACATTTTGGCTCTGGTGAAGAATGTGGGGTCTGATAGAGATACCATGAAGAGCCACAGAAGGTTGTAAAAAGAGATAGCAACTGATGTACATTTTAAAAGAGCAATTTAGCTGATACATGGCAAGTGAGAGCTGCAGCAGGGAGAAAGTGGATCTAGAAAACCCAAACGAGATGATGCTTTCGGAATCCAGGTGAAGGATAATGAATGGTGACTGGTGACTAAGCGAGGAGTAGTGTAGATGCTGAGGAAGGACCAGATGCCGAATATGCTTTGGAGGGAAGCCAAAAAGAACTGAAGAGGAGGAGAAAAGCTGCTTCTAAATAAAGAAGGCTTCAGTTTCTATCTTTAGCTCAAAAGCCTTTTATGTCAAATGATAGAGCCGCTAATAAATTGATTCCAAAAATATATATAATGTACATTTAAACTAATACTAAAATTTTTTTTATATTAAAGTTTCTCTATGGCAAAAATAGCATATTTATTAAAGAAAGTTGTCAAATACAGAAAGACAAAAAAGTAAGTATAGATGCATATAAAATATGGTATTTACATAACTAAGGTGAGAAAGCCTCTTTTCCTTAGCTGTACTGTTTGATCTTGTGTTAGGAGGCTGCCACATCAGGTTTTACCTTTTTCGACAGCATCCTTCAAAATCTGAAAATAATTTAACAATGCTAACACAAATGTTAACCCAAACGCTAGATGTGGACATTGTTCTTGTATCAGAGATGACTTTGGGGGTGGGGGCGGGACTATTCTGATGTCCCATTAAGTCAGAGGCTGATGGGCCGCAAGTGCAACCTGCCAGGGCCTTAAGTATTTGCAGAGTCCCTGCTGCGAATCCATTCCCACCCCTGTGTTGACGGGGGAGGAGAACTGCAGCTATTCACAGCAACAATTGTCCGAGCAAGGACCTAGCACCACAGTACCTTGGGGAGGCTGGGCGGGAAACCTTTGTTAAAAGGCTGCCAAGTCTGTGGTTAGAACTGCGGCCTCTGCCCGGGGCTGTTTTAATTCACATCTTCCCCCCTGCTTAAAGACCAAGGATTCCCAGGAAGGTAAGGAAGCGGAGCGAGGGTGTCCTCCGGGGGCCCAGGGGTCCAGCCGCAGCAGCAGTTTGCATCCTGGGCGGCCGCCCCGCCGACCCACCCAAGCCCAGGCTGGGATGTGGCAGCGCCAATTTCGTGCAACGTCCTCTCCCCTGCTGCGCGCAGGAATGGATCTCTGCGTCCTAAAAGAGGAAGATAATGGCGGGTTTGGCTTATAAATAGACGGTTGTATGCTCACCCTGCTAAGCATTGATTGAGACAGCCAGGCTGACTATTGATCTAATTTTAACTTACATTTTAGCCCGCACGCTCCCCGTCTGGCTGCGGAGCGGACTGTCTCGTGCGACCGCCAGAGGGCGTGCACTGGTCTTCGTGGTTCTCTACACTTCTGGCCTCTTGTTTACACAGACCTACAATGCAGGCCTTTATTGAGTTTGAAAAATAGAAGTTTGATTTTCCTGCGTCGGGATGACCTCATCACTCACGAAAGTCAGACGAAAGCAGAGAATTGATGGCAGGCAGAAGGGAAAATAACGTTTGCATTTCACCTCCTCCCACGCCAGCACCTACACAGAGCACTGGGGATGTGCTTCTTATCTAGAAACCTGCTACTGGAAGCTGGGAGAGGGAGAGGGCGGGAGGGGTGGAATGTGCAGTTCTTCCTGGTGCCTTGGCACTCAGCGTGCTGCTGCTTCTGTTTACAAGGTTGTATCACTTACTGTCTGCCTACAAGGGCTCTCCACTGAGCTGTGGCTAATGCTGTGTACCAGCAGCCTCCAGGAAAGAATGAATTCACTTTCAAATGTTATTAGCTATTCCTTCATATAATCCATGGTGTCAAAGTTTAAATAATGGTCATCAGCAATTTTATATGACTTGGCTTGTAAATTTCAGATCGACTATGGCTTCAAATGAGTAGCTGGGAAATAAAGTCTGTCACATTTTTGTTTACTACCTTTTGGAACCAGGAACTATAGACTAGAGTGTATATCAGGGGAGAGAGAAGACAATAAAGATTCTCCCCAGAAACTCCCCAGCCCTAGAACTCAGCATCTTGATTTCAGGAGTTGAACAAAACATATTGGTAGCAGCTAATATTTATCAATTGTTAGGTGTCAGACATTACACTAACCATTTTATATTCATTATCTCGTTAAATTCTCAAGACAGTCTGTTAAATTCCATTATTATCCCCATGTTAGAATTGAAGAAACTGAGGCTAAGTTCTTTGCCCAAAGTCGAGCACCAGAATAGGGCAGACTCAAGACTCAAATCTTGGTTAAGATTCTTGCAGTAGACTATAATGTCAAGTGGCCTAAAGACATGCCAACACCAGGCAAAATATTAAGCTTGCTTTATTTATCCCTAGGCCAAAGAAAGTGTATGTAAAGAGATAAGGTGGCTACTTTCCATTAAAGCCTGCCCAGGCCAAAACTGAAAAGCTCTTCTCTTACAAATGTGAAAAATTTAAAAAGAAATTATCATCTGTAATATTGCTCCTGCTAATAACATTCTAACATGGAAAAGAAAGTAACCAGGAGAAGGGAATTTGTGCTAAAGAGCCCTCACTTGTCCGTTCAGTCAACGAACAATTGCTTACAGTGGATTGGCCATTGTGGTAGGCTTTGGAATACTGTAATGAAGAAGACAGAAGTTGTCCATCCCCTCAGGGAATCTCAAGAGGAAAGGGATTATAAATGAGCCAACAACCAAACACATAACTTTTGTTGATCATAAAGGGACTTGGTTTGGTTGGGAGTCAAGAGTAGCCTGTCCAAGGGACTGACATTCAAGCAGAATGCTTCATCATGAGTAGGAGTTAGCCAGGTCCTGCTGGAACTGAGCCCCTTGTGGAGAAAGATGGGAAGTCTCAGGGAGGCAGTGGTGTTGGGAAAAAGTGAGTAAGTGGGAGAAAAGGTCAGAGAGCTCATGTGGGCCTTATAAATCAGAGGAAAGATGTGCATTTTAAAATGGGACACACCCTTAGAGATTTCAGTATGAAAAGGGTGGAGTTTAACTTGATGGCTTTGGCATCCATCTGGGGGTCTGTGGAGCACTCTTCTGGGTGTGTCTGGGTGGGTTGTGAAGTCATGGCCTGGGGTCTGTCTCCCATTCTTCTCTGATACTGTTCCCATGCTCTGCTTCTCTGCCCATGAACCAGCTTTGCTCCACCACCCTCTTCTATCATGGCGTTTCTGCCTTGCAACCTTCCAACCATAGATTGAGTCCCTGACATACATTGACATTCTCCAAAAATATGTCTAACTAGGGGGGCAGGGAGTCAGGGTGGTGGTAGTGGAGAATGATGAAAGTATGTCACATGCAGGTACTAAAAATATCCAGTTAAAAATATATATATACCATTTTAAAAAATGAACCCAACTGAACAACTCCTCCTTGTATCTATGAATGTCCAGTACTGTTTCCAGCAATGGGAAAACTGACACAAGAATGAGGTGATACAATTCACCTTTTAAAAAGATTGCTTTGTCTGTGGTGGGGAGAAGGAATGGGAGGCTTGGCCTTTCTGGAAGTTGGTGCAGTGGCTCGGTGTGGTGCAAAAGGATGGGCACTGCACAAAGCCTGGCCTAACAGAGGTCCAGAGAAGCAGGTGGTCTCTTCACAGGTTTGGTGATGGGTCGAATAGGATGACACTCTGAGAGGGCTCGAGGGTCTCTCGGGGTTTCTGGCTTGAGGCATTGGACTGAGCAAGACAACATTTATTAATCCAGATGACATGAAAAGAGGAGCAAATTGGCTACTCTTCCCATTTGAAAAGTGAAGGTTTCTGATCACCTAGACAGGAGAATTCAACAGTAAGTACTAAATGCTTGTCATTTCTTCACTGAAATCACCGTATTGATGCTGTTGTTGCAGTTATTGCCTCCACAGCCATAAAGGCAAGCATCAGTATTGTTTGTGTAAAGTGCAATAAGGAAACAAAGAGGCAGTGATATATTTACTTGCCTTTGGGATCTATTAGCTCTAGAAGAACTGGAAGAAACTAACAAGCAGCAACTGTTTCTTCATATAGGGCTTGCAGGGCCAGTGGGCAGCATTGTAGTTTAAAGTCCCATATACAAGAACCACAGACTGTTAAGAGTTGAAAAGGGTCTCATTATATCTATTAGAAAACTAAAACACAGAGGTGTAAAGTGCTCTGCCCAAGGTCATACAGCAAATTTATAAGTTACCAAGGGCAAAATCTAGATACCTGGCTCTTTCCTCTGCCCTGCCTCTCAAGAACTAAGGCTTTCTCTCTTAGATACACAAGCCTTCTTCAAAAGGAGAGGTGGCCAGGTTACTATTAAAACCTGAACTTGCTCTCATCCAAAAGTTCCCAATTAGAAAGAGTTTGTCACCTGCTGCACACCAGATCTTATACCGCCAGAATTCTGTTAAATTAATGTACAATAAAGATTAGTGGATCCTTTTCCTCTTCCTCACCTTTTTTTTTTTTTTTTTTTTGCTTTCTTTTGTTTCTTTGCAATTCTTAGAATTGGACTGGAACTGAACATCAGCATCCTGCCTAATGAATGTAAATACATGAGGTGGA